TTTCATTTTACCTCAAGGTATCGTATCATTTTTTTTTTTTGGTCTTGTGCCAGTACTGGAGCTTGAACTCACAGCCAGGGTGCTTTGCCTGAGCTTTTTTGCTCAAGGCTGGTGATCTACCACTTGAGCTACTGCTCTACTTCTGTTAGAATGGTTAATTAGAAATAAAAGTTTCACAGACTTTCCTTCCTGGGCTGGTTTTGAACTGCAATCCTCAGATCTCAGCCTGCTCAAGTAGATGGAATTGGAGGCATACACCAGCTTAATCCTTTCTGTCTAGTATCATGAAAGTCTTTCTTCCCTTTGCTGTTGTATCTAAATCAGAGACCTCTAAAGAGCTACACAGCTGCAGAAGCTTTTCATCTGAGGGCTGAGCTTTAGAACAGAGTCTGAGAGGCCTTCTGAGTGATGGGGAATCATGAGGTGTGTGGGGCTTCAGGTGCCCACTGCACTGTGGAAAAGACCATCACCTATAAGACCATCACCTATGAGAAAATTTTGAACACTCTGGAGAAATTGAAGTGACTGAAGTCATGGCTGACCAAGGCAGTGGGAAGAAAGGGGTCTTTGCTTTTGTGACTAGGATGCTGTAGATAAGATGGTCATTCAGAAGTACCATACTGAATGGCCATGAGTGTGAAGAAAGGAAAGCCCTTTCAAAGCAAGAAGCAAGCCAGGCACCTGTGGCTTTGGCCTGCCATTGTAAGCCGTATGGGATGTAGAGATCAGGAAGATCTCAGTTCCAGGCCAGCCTGGGCAGAAAAGTACTCAAGACTCCACGTCAGTGGAGGAAAGCTGGATGCTATGGCGTATGCCTCTCTTCCAAGCAATTACAGGAAGCCTAAAAAAGGAGGATTACAGAGCCCATGGGCACACAGGCCAAGAAGCGGTCCCATGCTCTGAGTAGCTGGGGCCTAGGGTCACTAGGCATCTGTGTGCTTGTTGCCCTCAGCAATCACAAGGATTTGGGGCTTGGTATTGTGCTTGGAGCCCAAAGCACCACTCCAGCAGAGATCTGCTGGGACCAAACATGCTGTGGGGATAGAAATAGTTGTGCTAGACAACCTTTCATTGACCAAGAGATGCTTATCCCAAATGTTGTGACTTGGCTAAAAAAAAAAAAGCTGGCTATAGCTGGCTGCTGGGTGGTTTTCCAAGGATGCTCTCTTCTACAGGGAGGAGTTCTGGAGAAAGCTTATCAAAATGGACTCAATATTTCATTCGAATGTACCTGGAGGGATGGGTGTCATGAAGCGAGGCCTCACTGCCTGTTGGGTTCATGCAGCAAGTGGCAGAGTCAGCAACACTGAGGTCAAACCTCACAAAAATGTGAGCCTACAGACCTGACAGGAGAGGATGATAGAGATCACCAGAGACAGTGGTTAACAGATGGCCCAAGAGTGGTCAAGTCCCAAAGATCAATGGAACAGATTAGAAGACCTAGAAATAAAGCCATATATGTCCACTTTGAAAAGGGAGTCAAAGTTGTACAGTGGGAAATAAATAGCCTCTTCAACAATTGGTGTTTGGAAAACTGGGCATCCATATGCAGAAAACTAAAAGTGGATCCCTGTTTGTCACCATGCACTAATATGAATTCAAAGTGGATCAAAGACCTCAACACCAGACCTGAAATGTTGAAACTACCTCAAGAGAGTAGGAAAAACATTAGAACTTATAGGTATAGGCAGAAACTTCTTGAATAGAATCCCAGATAAAAAGTTTCTGTACAGCCGGGCGCTGGTGGCTCACGCCTGTAATCCTAGCTACTCAGGAGGCTGAGATCTGAGGATCGTGGTTCAAAGCCAGCCTGGGCAGGAGAGACCGTGAGACTCCTATCTCCAGTAAACCACCTGAAAACCAGAAGTGGCGTTGTAGCTCAAGTGGTAGAGCGCTCGCCTTGAGCTGAAGAGCTGAGGGACAGCGCCCAGGCCCAGAGTTCAAGCCCCAAAAAAAAAAAAGTTTCTGTACAGAAAAGACATAGTTACTAAACTAGAAAGACAGCCAACAAACTAGGAAAGGTCTTTACCAGCAACGTATCAAAGGCCTAATATCCAATATATACAAGGAGCTCAAGAAACTAACCTCTCCCAAACCTAATAAACCACTAACTGGGAAAGGGAGCTAAGGAGAAACTTCTCAGAAGAAGAGGTAAGAATAGCAAAGAAATACATCAGGAAATGCTCATCATCCCTGACCATAAAGGAAATGCAAATCAAAACAACTATAAGATTCCATTTTACCCAGTAAGATTGCCCAATACCATGAATTCAAACAACAAATGTTGGTAGGGATGTGGGGGAAAAGGACTTCTACTGCACTGCTGGTGGGAATGTAAACTAGTACAACCATTCTGGACAGCAGTCCAGAGGTTCCTCAAAAGACTAAATATAGACCTTCCCTATGACCCAGCCATACCATTCCTAGGCATCCATCATGAACATCATGAACCAAGATATGATACGGACACCTGCACATCCATGTTCATTGCTACACTATTCACAATAGCCAAGATATAGAAATAGCCCAGATGCCCCACAATCGATGAATGGATCCAAAAAATGTGGTACCTATGCACAGTGGAATTTTACACATTAGAAGGAATAAAATGTCATTTTCAGGGAAATGGATGGGACTAGAACAAATCATGCTAAGTGAGGTAAGCCAAGCTCAGACAAACGGCATATGTTCTCTCTGATAATGCAGAAGTTAGATCTAAAATGCACTGGGATATGATAAGTTATACAGGATTTTAGATACATACAGTAAGACCAAAAAAACACAAAGACACAATGCCTAAGTGCCTCTTCATATCTACATAAAATAATATATATATAAACAAACTCCAAAATATGGAAACAAAAGGCTTTTTTCCCCAGTTTTTAGTTTTTGATGATTCTATCTTCTCTACCTTATATATGGTGTTCTTACGTGTGTATCTTCTGGATGGTGGAGGGGAGGGCAGAGAACTTGAGGGAAAAAGAGGGGGAAAGTGCCAGGTGCGGGTGGCTCACACCTGTAATTCTGGCTTCTCAGGAGGCTGAGATCTGAAGATTGTGGTTGGAAACCAGCCTGGGCAGAAAAGTCCCTGTGAGACTCATATCTCCAATAAACCACTCAAAAACCAAAAGTGGCACTGTGGTTCAAGTGATAGAGTGCTAACCTTGAGCCCAAAGAAGCCAAGGCCCAGAGTTCAAGCCCCATGACCGACAAAAAAACAAAAATAACAACAGCAACAAAAACACTAGCGCTCTACCACTTGAGCCACAGAGCCACTTCTAGCCTTTTCTGTTTATGTGGTGCTGAGGAATCAAACCAAAGGCTTTATGCTAGGCAAGCACTCTACCACTAAGACACCTTCCTAACCTATGTGAGACTCTTATCTCTAATAAACTATGAAAAAGCTGCAAGTGGAGCTGTGGTTTAAATGAGAGAGAGCTAGTTTTGAAAGAGAAAGAGAGAAAAAAAAATCTAAGGGACAGCGCTAGGCCCTGAGTTCAAGCCCTGGACTGGCGCACACACAATACATAGACAAGAAAAGTCTACAGCTGAGCTCCTGTGGCTCATGCCTATAATCCTAGCTACTCAGGAGGATGAGATTTGAGGATCGTGGTTCAAAGACAGCCCAGGCAGGAATGTCCATGAGACTCGTGTCTCCAATAAACCACTAGAAAACTGGAAGTGGCTGCTGTGGCTCAATCGGTAGAGCACTCGCCTTGAGCTGAAGAGCGCAGGGACAGTGCCCAGGTCCAGTCCAAGCCCCACAACCAACCAAAAAAAAAAAAACAAGAAAAAAAGAAAAGTCTAAGAGTAAAATGACAAGTTCAGGACAAGTGACAGGGAAGGCTCTGTGGCCGAATCTGGTGTTGAGAATACTAGAGATAGCTGCATTTGCTCTGGAAGATAGCCGAGACCCTTGGATATCTTTCCCATCAACACCTATTGTTGACTATTGGAGAACTTTGCCCCATCCTGCCCTGTGGACCCTGGATATTCTGGAATGTGATGTGTGACCTTTAATGCAAACTGGGGCTCTAGATTTAAAAAAATATTGCCAAATGGCTCTCCTAATTCCATTACAAATTATATCTCTCCCACCCCCATCCCATACCCCCAGTATAGACTCTCTTTATAGTCATAATTCCAGCTAGCTACTCAGGGGGCTACGATCTGATGATCTCAGTTGCAAGCCAGCCTAAACAGACAAATCTGGGAGTATTTTCTGCAGGTATCCAACAAAAGTCCAGAAGTTCTGGCCTAGCTCAAGTGATAGAGTGCTATGAGATCAGGAGTTCTGCATCTCAAGCCTCAATATCAGCAACAGATAATTGGTTCTGCTTCCTTAGAATCCTCCAGAACCCCCCGCCTCGCCAGTCTGAGGCTGGGACTTGAACTCGGTACATGATACTTTCATTCATTGACTACTGCTCTAGTAACTGAGCCATGTCTCCAACACCCAGACATTTCTTGTTTTTTGTTTTGTTTTGTTTGTCATGGGGCTTGAACTCAGGGCCTGAGCACTGTCCCTGAGCTCTTTTACTCAAGGCTAACACTCTACCACTTTGAGCCACAGCTCCACTTCTGGTTTTTGAGTGGTTAATTGGAGGTAAGTCTCACGGGGTCTTTTCTTATCACAGTGGGTTTGAACCCCGAGCCTCAGATCTCAGCCTCCTGGGCAGCTAGGATTTTAGTCATGAAATCCTTTGAGTGATAGAAGTGGTTGCCCAGGCCAGGTACCCAGGGCCGGAGGCACAGAGCTGAGACCCCGGGTCAGGGCGTGTGGACCTGGGTGAGAACAGCCTGGTTGTTTACTGAGGGTGGGGAGGCTGAAGTCCTGAGGGAGGGGGGGGGAACGGGCGGGGGAGGACAGCCCGGCCCTCACCTGCGACCCAGGGCGCCCTGCCTGGCCCTGCCATTTTTGCCAAGAGAGGTTCTGGGAACGGTGGCATGCTGCGGCTGCTGGCATCCAGCTGCGCCCAGCCCAGGGTGCACGGGCCCTCATGGGCACGGGTCCTGCCCCGGGGCTTTGCCACCTCCGACAACCCCTGGGCCGCCAGGTCTCCAACGCTCCCCGGAACCAGCCTCCCAGCTCCGAGTTCGTAGCCCGGCCTGTGGGTGTCTGCTCCATGATGCGTCTGCCCATGCAGGCCTCCCCGGAGGGGCTGGACGCCGCCTTCATCGGAGTGCCCCTGGACATTGGTACCTCCAACAGGCCCGGAGCCAGGTAAGGTGAAGCAGGAGGGCAGGGCCTGCGATCCAAGGGGTGTTGAAGGCTCCAGGTCAGGCGTTTGTGCTCTCCTAGGTCAGGATGAAAGCTGGGACAACAGAGGCTTTGGCAGGAGGATTGGGACTTGGAGGCCAGTTTGGGTTATAGAACCAAATCTTGTTTCTAAAGTAATCATCAGTAGATAGAGGGTTTCTGGGAACCCCAACCACCTTCTCCATGAATCCAGCCCCTGACCTTGCTGGGATGGTAGCATTTGAGAAAGGAAGCTGGCTGCCCTTTCTCCAGCTCTCCTGACCCTAAAATTGCTCACATAAGGAATTTTTTTCCTAAGAGGAAGTCAAATCCATTTTCCTAATTACTGACGATCAGCCATTTCTGATTCAGTTCCTTACATCTTTACTGTGTAGGTCTGCAATTTAGAAGGCATCAGTTATTGCAAGACACAGTTGCAAAGATTACTGCATTTAATTCTTACAACAGAGTGACATAATTATCATTTCACCTTGAAGATTAGGAGTTGGGTGTGGTGGTGCATGTCTGTAATCCCAGCAACTCAGAGGCTGAGGGAGCACAAGTTCAATGCCTGCCTGAGCTACTTAATGAGTTTGAGGCCAGCCTGGGCAAGTTAGTGAAACGCTGCCTCAAAACATTAAAAAGGACTGGGGATATGGCCTAATGGTAGAGTGCTTGTCTAGCATGCACCAAGTCTGGGTTACATCCTCAGTGCCACACATACATGCTGGATCGGTGGTTCCTGAAGGTGGATTTTTACCCAGGGGATGGCTGGTGATGTCTAGACTCATTTTTGCTTGTTTTGACTTGGGTTACAGGGGTGAGGAGGAGATGCTACTGACAGGGAGTGGGTACAAGCCAGGATACTGCTAAATGTTCTGCAGAGGTTTGAAGGCACACTACTGTGGCTATTTGTAATGGTGGCACTGGGGGAGGCTGAGCAGGAAAATCAAGAGCTCAAAGCCAGCCTGAGCTGCACAGACATCCTCCCATCTCTAAAATCAAACCCGACAACCCAGCAGACCTCTGCAGTGGCTGACAGATGGTTCTTCTCTAGATTTGGACCCCGACGCATCCGGGAGGAATCTGTGTTGCTCCGAACTGTCAATCCTAGCACGGGGGCCCTCCCCTTCCAGTCCCTTATGGTGGCAGACCTTGGTGATGTGCCTGTCAATCTTTACAACCTACAGGACAGCTGTCGGCTAATTCAAGAGGCCTATCAGAAAATTGTAGCAGCTGGCTGCATTCCTCTGACATTGGGTAATGGCCACTGACAAGCGCCAGTGTAGTTCTCTGCACTGTGCTGCAGGGTTTATTTATCATGGGCAAACCACTGTGAATGTGGAGACAGTAGTAAAAGAACATTTTGATTCATTCATTTTAATGCAGGGAGGAGAAGATATTTACAATTTTGGGTCAGGTGTGGTGGTGCATGCCTATAATACCAGCTTTTGGGAAGCTGAAGCAAGAGGATCATGCACAGGAGGCTAACCTGAGCTATGCACAAAGACCCTGTACAAGACAAAACAAAACAACTGTCACACTACTGAACAAGGTGGAAGTTTGGCTCTGGTGTAATTGAACAGGTGGCAGAATTTGGCAAAAGTAAGGATCACTCATGGAATAATTTTACCTACATTTCTGATGTTTTTTCCTTTTTCTTTGCAGGTGGAGATCACACCATCACTTACCCCATATTGCAAGCCATAGCAAAAAAGTAAGTTCTAGCCAGGCATGGTGGCTTACACCTATAATCCTAGCTACTCAGGAGGCTGAGATCTGAGGATCTCAGTTTAAAGCAAGCCCAGGCAGGAAAGTCCCTGAGACTGTTTGTTTTGTTTTTGTTTTGTCAGTCATGGGGCTTGAACTCTGGGCTTGGGCTCTAGTCCCTCAGCTCTTCAGCTCAAGGCTAATATAATATTCTACCACTTGAGCCACAGCGTCACTTCTGATTTTTTTTTTTTGTCGGTCGTGGGGCTTGAACTCTGGGCCTGGGCCCTGTCCCTCAGCTCTTCAGCTCAAGGCTAGCGCTCTACCACTTGAGCTACAGCGCCACTTCCAGTTTTCTGGTGGTTTATTGGAGATAGGAGTCT